GGGTTACTTGAATTCTACGACCAGGCAATAAAAATCAGGCAAGAAAGAGAAGGTTGGGCAGACTGCATATTTTTGGAATGCCAGAAAGCCTGTGATACAGTACCACACAAGAGGCTAGTGAAAAAGCTGGAGATGCAGGCTGGAGTGAATGGAGTGAAAGGGAAGGTACTCCACTGGATAAAGGAGTACCAAAGCAACAGGGGACAACGAGTCAATGTGAGGGGTGAGGCCTCAGATTGGCGAGTCGTTACAAGTGGAGTCTTGCAGGGTTCAGTCCTTGGACCTAGACTGTTTTTGATGTATGTAAATGATCTCCCAGTGGGTATAGACTCGTTTTTCTTAATGTTTGCTGATGATGCAAAAGTTATGAGGAGGATTGAAACAGTGGATGATAGTAGGAGGCTACAAGATGACCTAGACTGACTGAGTGAATGGGCCAACAAATGGCTGATAAAGTTCAACCCGAGTAAATACAAAGTAATGAAACTAGGCGGTGAAAACAGGAGGCCAGACACAGGATACAGAATAGGAGATGAAGTACTTAATGAAACGGGCAGAGAGAAAGATCTAAGAGTTGATATCACATCAAACCTGTCTCCTGAAGCCCACATAAAAAGAATAACGTCTGCGGCATATGCGAGGCTGGCTAACATCAGAACAGCCTTCAGGAACCTGTGTAAGGAATAATTCTGAATCATATATACTACATATGTAAGACCAATCTTGGAGTATGCGGCCCCAGCATGAAGAGTAGTCCCCAGAGTGAAGAGTAGGACCTCGAGCTGTGAGGAGAAGCAGTGAAGCGGAGTGTCACGTGCTTCTGTAATACCAGTAGTGGAAACTCCAGGACTGTTCGAAGAAACTTCATGGTGAAGCAGCCTGGAAGATCTGTATATGATCCTGGTAGAAAAGCCCGGAAGAACCTGAAGATGTCAGGGTAGTGAGCTTCCAGATGTGGACGGGAAATTCTAGTTGATTACTTGTAGGGAGTTGCTAGAGTGTTTGGTTGTCGTTAGCGTGCAAGACGCAGTGAAAGGTGAGTGATTGTTTGCCATTTTTGAGCCCAAGGAGTACTTATACTGAAGTATAGAGTTACAGTCGTAGGCTGGATTACCTGCAGAGACATACATATGTGTTCTAGGACTGATAGGGGGATCGATTGATCATTGTTGTATATCAAGGAACATTTATACTAATATTTATGTTATTGCATTCATACGCTGGTTTTCCTTGTATGTGTTTATAGATATATATATTCTCTTGCTGATAGTGCAACATCGTGTTATAAGACTTGACCTACTTGAGGAGGTTGGTAGTATTAGGTGGTGAATCAGGAGATAGGATACCACTTGATAAGCAGATGATAGAGTTCTGATGGTGATGGAGTGTAACCTGACTGAAATAGTATAGAGTATAGGATTCATTATTATTATATGTGTGTATGTGCTTTGTCCAGTAAATGTATTCAAATTTGCTGGTGTATGCCCTTGTCCTAGTGAGGCTTCCCAGGAAGTAGGAAAGAAGGAGAGAGAGAGAGAGAGAGAGAGAGAGAGAGAGAGAGAGAGAGAGAGAGAGAGAGAGAGAGAGAGAGAGAGAGAACCAAGAACCACAGCTGTGGACAGGGTAAAATGGAATACTAATAAGTCAAAAGGGATTGAGGAGATCATATCACATAAAGAGAGAGTGGGGAGTCACAGCGGCTCGAGTGGTTGTGTGCACGTGACAACGAGGCTAAGTATTGGAGCCGCATACCCCTAAGCGTGTGACGTTGAGCCTCTCTCCAAGAGCCAGAAGCGCCCAGGGTGGTCTCTTGGTAAAGTATAAGCACTCTACCGAGTTTTGGGTTGGGTTGTCCATAAAGAAGGATCAACGACAACACCCAACCCACAATAATATATAATCAATCACTAGCAAACATTATGCTAAATCCTCACCTTCGTCATTACATGGATGACTCATCACAGCTTCAGTAACTATCACAATACCTTTACCTTACATGCAATGTTCACTCTTTCAAGAGTCATCCAAGACTCTTCCAGCGGGAGTGGAAGTCATGTGTGACACAACGACAAATACTATCTAACTGTACAAGATTATGCAGATTATGCAGTCTGCCCATCTTTCTCTCTCTCTCTCTCTCTCTCTCTCTCTCTGTCTCTCTCTCTCTCTCTCTCGTTTGAGTTCAAACTGTTAATTATTATATAGTAAAATATATATTTTCTTGCATCTCATCTTTGTTTTTTCCTCTCACCTCCTTATAGTATATAATAACACCATTTCTTGTCTCTAGTGGATTAATGAACTAGGTAGTACATTCCTTCAGTAGCTCTGAGAATCTTCTATCAGGTCCAGATGAGCTACGTTCTACCTAGTACTTTGATCTACATACTCCTCTGAATGATTTCTATACTACGAGGCGTTTCGTTGTATAACTGCCACAACACCATTAAAAATGCAGTCAACGACTTGCTTCTTTTAAAAAATCCATGTCTAGGTAACCCACAACATTTTGAATTTGATTCTTGTTTTAAGTTGCAGTATACAGCACGTATTTAAATGTTAACATAGTTATAGCATAGATCTACTCCATATAGTTATATAACATAGATCTACTCCAACCCCAACTCACATACACTAAATGGTGTTGTTAATGATGAACTAAAAAAAGTCCACTTATGGATGTCAACCAACAAACTAACACTTAACATAGAAAAGACCTACTACATCCTATTCGGAAGCAAATCTACAAATGCAATTCAGCTTCAGATTGACAATGTAAACATTAGCAATAAAAATGATGGAAAGTTTCTTGGCATATTCCTAGACAAGAGACTCAACTTCAGTACCCACATACAACACATAACTAAGAAAGTCTCTAAAACAGTTGGTATACTCTCCAAAATCAGATATTATGTTCCTAACTCTGCTCTCATCTCTCTATATTATGCACTAATCTATCCCTATCTCAACTATGGTATCTGTGCATGGCGTTCAACCACTGCAAACCACCTCAAGTCCATCATCACCCAGCAAAAATCTGCTATCAGAATAATATCAAATTCTGCTTTCAGACAACACACAGCCCCCTTGTTTAACTCCCTAAACATGCTAAACATAATCTCACTCCACAAATTCTCTTGTGTCAACTACATTTACAAAACCCTGTTCTTAAATGCAAATCCTTGTCTGAAACTCTTCCTGGACAGATGTAATAGGACCCATTATCACCACACCAGAAATAAATATCTCTTTGATATCCCCAGAGTTAAACTTAATCTGTGTAAACACTCTATGCAAATAAAGGGACCCAGTTTATGGAACTCACTCCCTACTGAATTGAAAAGCTGTCCAACTTTTACATCATTCAAAATCAATACTAAAAAATACCTAATTTCATCTTCATAGTTTTTCACTTTTTGCCTTAAAATTACACTGTATCATTTGCTACCCAATCTCCCAACCTTTATGTTCCCAATTTGAACATCTTTACCATTGTGATCATTGCTGTTTTCTTATATGTGCTGCCAATCTGTTGTATGGTGTTTATAAATCTTGTTTATCTGTATTGTGACGGTAACGCGTTGGTGTTCGGCTGTTCAAAGCTAGGGGTATGGCCTCGTCACATAAAATTAAAAAAAATAGAAAATCTGGAACTTCGTCTGTGGTAAGGTAAGGAGAAGACACACAAAACACAAGTAAATTTTAACAATGAAATTTTAATTACGTTAAATAAACAAAACATGAATAAAATGGACATACAAATTCGTATAATAAAATCAATCAATCAAAATAATAAGAATAATTAAATGGTAAAATGAAAAGTTACATTAAGACAAGTGAGCAATAACAAGCTGTGCAATATACAATAAAATGAGAGGTGCGGGAATATTGGCTTTAAGCTATCACCTCTCTTAGTACACTTAAGCCAAAGCTCAGTCTACCAGGAAGAAGTGTTAACCGTATGAAAGCACTGAATATTCTGAGGACTGAGGTCGTGGCGGCCCCAGACATCAAGTAGTATGGGGGGGGGTGGAGTGCAGTTGCAGCCAGACCGGCGGCCAATCAGCGAGTAGCCGGCAACAAGACAGGTAGTTTGGCGGTTTGAGGCTGAGCAGGTGTCCCTGGCTGCATACGTTTTGCGCTCTGGCAAACCTTGGAGATGTTGTTGTCGTTGTTGGACATTTCTTTCATAGTAGTTTTATATATTTGTTGCGACGTATTTTTGGAGGGAAGAGCAGGCTCAATCTCTTGAAGGAGATTATTGTCACAGTATCTTTTGCTGCCCAGTCTCCCAATCTTAATGTACCCAATCTGAACATCTTTACCATTGTGATCATTGCTTTCTTATATGTGCTGTCAATCTGCTGTATGGTGTCTATTAACCTTATTTAAATTACTAATCAAGCTGTCAATGTAATCAATCAGAGCTTTAATATAACAATGTGCTTTAATATACTTACTTAACTCTCTCATCTCATTTTTCTCTTGTAATGTATCTTTATCATTTATCAATTCTGATTGAAATTACCTACTTAAAATTATCTGCAAGATTAAGGACCTGCCCGAAACGCTGTGCGTACTAGTGGCTTTACAAGAATGTAAATACTGTACTATCCAATGTATTCTCACAAACCCAATGTACCTTCTTATATATATATAAATAAATAAATAAATAAATAAATACATTATAGTTATTTATGTAAACTAATTTTTGAAAGACAAAACGATTACAGTGTTTTTATCTGATTGCAACTCTTCCGATTGCAATTGCTCTGAATGCAATTGTTCCGAGTGTAATTACTCTGAATGCAATTGTTCCGACTGTAATTGCTCTGAATGCAATTGTACATATTTGCTTTCTTTTCATTGCATTTAATTATGCATCTGTAATTTTTATCCGGCACTGTGTGAGTGTTAAGCTGCACTGAGTGAGAATGCGTGTACAAATCTAGTTAATTTTACAATATTATTACAACTGTACCTTTGTGTTCTTATCACAGGAGGTAATAATATTGCAGCGAATGTGGGCTTCCGGAAAGAAAGCAATAGCACGTTTCAGTGGTTGGATGGACGCCTAGTCAACGCCGCAGACTTTGGCGCTGGTGAACCCAACAACATTGGAGGAAATGAATTCTGCGGAGAATTTCGACTGGATGTGGACCCGATGCTCAATGATATCTCCTGCTCGTTTTTAAACCGATTTCTTTGTCAATATCACCCTCCCAATTGAGGATGTTGAAGCGTCTCTCAATGAAAGGAATAATTGGTTTGTTTAATCTTGTTTTATTTTAATGTTTTCCACGTAGTATAAATAACAGGCATTTGCAAAATCCTCTTAGTTAATTAATCTGAGAAGAACATTTTAATCCATCACAAATTATGAGGAAGTTAGAGAGTAAAGAGCTTATTATAACACGAATTAGGGGGTGAGAGTCTTGTAATAGTTAAGAGTCTTGAAATAGCTGTGAATCTAACAACAGCTGTGAGCTTTGCACTACCTGAAAGTCTTACACTGACTCTGAGTCTTACATTATCTCTTAGTCTAACACTATCGCTGAATCTTTCACTATTGTTGCGTCTTACACATTCTCCGAGTCTTACACTACGAGTCTTATTCTGGCTGTGAGTGTCGCACTGGCTGTGAGTGTTTCACTGGCTGCGAGTGTTTCACTGGCTGTGAGTGTTTCACTGGCTGTGACTGTTGCACTGACTGTGAATGTTGCACTGGCTGTGAGTGTTGCACTGACTGTGAGTGTTGCACTGGCTGCGAGTGTTGCACTGGCTGCGAGTGTTGCACTGGCTGTGAGTGTTAAACTGGCTGTGAGTTTTACACTGGCTGTGAGTGTTACACTTGTCGTGAGTGTTGCACTGGCTGCGAGTGTTGCACTGACTGTGAGTGTTGCACTGGCTGTGAATGTTGCACTGGCTGTGAATGTTCCGCTGGCTGTGAGTGTTACACTGCCTGTGAGGGTTACACTGGCTGTGAATGTTCCGCTGGCTGTGAGTGTTACACTGCCTGTGAGGGTTACACTTGTTGTGAGTGTTACACTGGCTGTGAGTGTTGCACTGGCTGTGAGTGTTGCACTGGCTGTGAAGTGGTGGAAGTGCCCCAGAGGACATCAGGCCTCTCTTCTATGGAGCAGCACTCTGTGCTCTTAAAATGAAGGATGGGGAAATCAGGCCCTATGTCGTTGGCAACACCTTCCGACACCTCATGGCTAAGGCAGCAGTGAGGTCAATCAATCAGGAAGCAGCCACCTTACTGAAACATAATCAGCTCGGGTTTTTGGATCCCTCCTCGGCTGTGAAGCTGCAGCACATGCAGCTCTGCCAATATCTTCATTGCCAATTTCTCAGACCAGAAGGTACTAGTCAAGCTTGACTTTAAAATTGCCTTCAATCAAGTCAGAAGAGACGCATTTCTCTCTATTTTGCTTATGACCTTTTGTCTCGCCTAGATTTAATGATTCTTGCAATCTTTGCTCAGTCGTTTCTATTTCTATACATGGCCTTCATTGTCGCTCTTGGAACAGAGCTGAGCGTTTAACTCTATCCCAAGATGAGTTGAACATTGCTGCAGATGTTCTGCCATTTGTTTTCGTCGCCTGTAAAGGAAACGCCATTCTCATTCCAGTTTGCATTTTTTATCTCTCTCCTTAGTGGTATGTGACTTGCACCTATTTCTAGTGCTACTGTGCCTATTTTCTCATGTCATTGGATTAAGTTTGCATTATCTAGCTCTTGGAGTTGTACCTGTATTATCTAGCTATGGAGTTGTGCCTGTATTATCTAGCTCATGAATTTGTACATGTATTATATAGCTATCGGAGTTGTACCTGTATTATCTAGCTATGGAGTTGTGCCTGTATTATCTAGCTCATGAATTTGTACATGTATTATATAGCTATCGGAGTTGTACCTGTATTATCTGGCTCTTGGAGTTGTACCTGTGTTATCAAGCTCTTGGAGTTGTGCCGCTGTAACCCGCAGCTAAACTACAACCATGTCGACTCAGAGGTTGCTGGAGGTTATAAACAACAACAGAGGATAAACAAAATATTGATTGTTTGAGATGATTTCGAACGGATTTCTTGTTTGTCTGTTTATAAATATTGCTTCTCTCTGATTGTTTGCTAATAAAATGTATATAACCATGTTGTGTTGGTTAACCATCCTACAAATATCAAGGCACATCAGATGCGGTGTTGTCATAATGTTTGATAATCAAGTTTATTACTGGTCTTTGATGGACTGTGCCTGATTATATATACGTTGACATTTAATGGTCAATAACCACTGATATCTGCCCCCTAACAATCCTCGAAAGACGTAAACAAAATAATTAAATATTATTATGGAAATAGAAGGATATGGAATATTGTCACGCAAATTGCCAATTACATTTAACCGTCCCTACGTGTCAAAGCCTAATCACGGAACAACCCATCCTCCGAATTGACAGTACGATTTAATACTAAGTGTAATAAGTACACTCTATTACTGTCATAAACAGTACTTAATTGCACTTATGCGGCTGTTACATTTACCAAACTCCCTCCCCCGATTTAATTCTCCTCGATTTCTGTCAAGACACTCAGAATTTTAGGATGAAGTTTTCAATCTCGATTAGGAAAATACAAGTTTTAAATATCAGGAATTTCTTTTTCAGGTTTATTAAACAATATAGATTTTATACAAAATTTTAAAATATCCTGAGTTACTTTACAATTTATTGATATATTTTAGTTTTGTTTTTTTAAACTGTAACATCAATATACCTATAGGTTAAGTACTAATTGTAATTAAGAAGCAAGAAAATTATCATCTTCAAAAACTAAGACGGTTAGGTGAGGTTGTGGTTTTCTATTCAGTTTTTCTGGGAAACTCAAATATTCACAATATATTTGACAGTACGATTTAATACTAAGTGAAAATAAGTACAATTCCTAACTGCTATGAATAGTACATAATTGCACTTATTTGTCTTCTTACATTTACCACCCCATTTTTGGAGGACCGGCTGCACGGAAGGATAATGTCAACGTCATCGAGAAGCAGAGAGTAGTGTGCCAACTCCGCCTCTTGATTGACACCAATTTTTCACAAGGAACAACGGATTCAAGCTTAACAAGCCACAATGTAATACAGTAAACAAGATATATTTTTCATCCATAGGGTTATAAACCGGTGGAATAGCCTTCCAGCCACTGCCACAAACGGTAAAACTCTAATTGTGTTTTTTTAAGGGCCACACACACAAGGCATAAGCTCACACAAAACAGGAGCACAGCACCGGAGCACGCAGGAACCGGTGGAACATATGAAAAGACACACACAGACACACCAGAACACAAGGACTGGCACACACAGGAGCCGGACGCAACAAAACACCCACACACACAAACAGGATGAAACACCGGAACGCACGGGAACTGGAAAACAAGGTCCAGAACCACAACCAAGCACAAACAAAAAGAAAAAACAACGGAACACGCATGATCCGGCAAAGGAACACAAATCTCACACAAAACCAAACAACAAGGACACACACACAGGGAACAACACAAAAACACAACACAGGCAAACACACACAACTCACCGTCGAGGAAGCCCTCAGAGGGGCGGGGGGGAATACACACAACCCAAATGCCCAAATGAACCAAAAAGTCCTCCCCCTAAATCCACCGCAACAACACCAATACACTGATCAAACCCCCGACCCACCTACCAATCCCAAAGCATCACCCCGAACATAGGCGTCATTGAACCAACCAGCAAACTCCACCGGAAAAGCACGCCACAACCACCACCATGTGAAACGCAAACGCCCCGCAGAAAACCTAGAATCCGGTGAATCCCGTAGCCCTCCAAATGCCCAACCCACACGCAAAACACATTATCCGCAATCAAGACACTCAGGATGTTCCGAAGCTACCTGGAGCCCTGAGGAAACGAAAGAAACAGGAACCTTAAAATATCCCCCATTAACCCGGGCCCACAGAACACCGCAATCACATCAGGCAACCAATCAACTAAGCCCTGTACCCTCTCACAAAAATAAAACACATGTAACTGCATCTCAACCAATCCACAATACGTACACGCCGCGGAAGAACGCAACCCAAGCATACACAAACGATCATTCGACGGCAACGACTCGTGCAGCATACGAAAGAGAAACTCCCGCTGCTGCGGAGCCAAATGCCGCCCACCCAAGACCGACCAAATCCCACTCACCCCAATCCCAGCATGGAAACAAACCCTCAACCCGATGGCTCACACGACGAAGGAGAGCCCCATAAACCTCCCGACACGAAAGGGACAAAAACTCAGGAACACGACAGAGCCCCCGCAGAATCCCAACCCCCACGAATACACAGCAGGCGTACAAAAGGTGACCTCACATCCAGCCCCTAACTCAAGCAAATAGCTAAACTGAACTGAACAGAAATAAACCTCAAGCGCATTGAGGCCCCCACTCACCCCGAAATACTGATGCAACGACACCCAAAACAAAGCCAATGCCTTGGTAAAAACATCAGGGATGCCAACACACCCCTAATCTACCCGCAAAACCATGGAGGAGCGACGAACTGGATGATATTTCCCACACCACACATACCGATAGACTCTGCACTCCAACCTATGAGCATGGCGCCGATCCAGAGGGAAGCACCGAGCCAAAAACCACACCCTCAAAAGAACTTTACTAGTAACAACAATCGCCCGCTGATAAACCGTCAATGGATGCGAGGATAACAAACCAACCGACCGAGACACCGCATCCCAATTCCACTCCAAGGATTGGTCATACGAGCTAGACCAAGTAACTCCGAGAACCCGAAGCGACCTGACCACTGGAAACCACGACCCCGCCCACACTGAACGGGAGGCCCAGCCCCCCAGCCCCATCAGACAGAACTTATCCCTATTAACAAGGGCCCCAGTGGCCAGCTCAAAACGCCGAACAAGGTCCTGAACCGCAACCACAGAGCCATCGGTCGCCACAAACTGCACCATATCGTCAGCATACCCACAGATCGGTAAACAGAGACCAGCGGGCAGCCTCAGAGGAACCACCAAAGAACAGGACTGAACACCAAGAAACAAAGGCTCCTGAAAAAGAACATAAAGGAGCATAGATAAGGGACACCCCTGACTCACCGATCGGCGAACGGCAAAAGGGGCACTATAAAAACCATTGATGTACACACGACTATGACAACGGGCATACAACATACACACCCAAGAAACAAACAATGGAGGAAACCCGAACATCTCCATAGCCTGCAACACAAAGCCTATCGACACACGGTCGAATGCCTTCGACCAATCTAAGCTGAGCATCACCGCAGGCAGGCGAAACTCAGAGGCACACAGAATCACATCACGTAAAAGAGCATTGCAATGAAGCAAAGACCTACCCAGAACACCACAAAATTGCTCAACTGACACCACAGAACCAATTACATCCCGACACCGACCCGCCAGCAACTTCGAGACAACCTTAAAATCAACATTTAACAGGGTGATCGGCCTCCAACTCGATAAAAAACGCAAATCACCTGGCTTTGGAAGGAACCGCACAACCCCATCATAATGGGATGCGGGTAAAAAAAAAGGTCTGGAAACAAAACCGCACCACCTCCAAAAAAAAGCCTCACCAGGCATATCCCAAAACGTCACATAAAATTCCACAGGGAGCCCATCCAAGCCAGGCACCCTGCATGATTGGAAAGACCGAACCACACTCCAAAGCTCAGCCGACGATGCGTCCCGCACCAAAGCGGATCAACCCGCAGCCGATAAACCAGGTGAGCAGTGACGCAAAAGGAAAGCAGCCAGATCCTCATCCACCCCAACCTCCTCATACAGCGTTCCGCAACTCCTGCTGCACGTACAACAGGACCTCATCCGTGTTAGACAAAACAGAACCGTCCGGAAGCTGGAGACTGGTGAAAAGAGCCGTTCACCAGACACATGCTCGTCAACACGAACCCGCACCCGAACCCCCTCTGCCAACTCCTCCCGCAAACCACAAATGCGATCCTTACACACAGAAATAGCAGCAATACAATCAACCCCACTATTAAGCAACACATACAACCGAGTGAACCGCGCCTGAAGAAAGCGCAACAAACCAAAACGCCCCGCTGCCTCACGCTTTGCAACCACAACGAAAAAAAGACTTGCATTCCATCTTGCACCACTCCCACCGTCTAACACAGACAAAAACTCACACTTGCGAGCAACAAACCCCACCCACCACCCACGAAACGCCTCACGCACCCAAGGACAATGCAGCAACCGACAATTCAACTTCCACCAACCCCTCCCCACACGAACCTGACTACGAACAGCAACACGCACCACAACCAAACAACGATCAGAAAAGGCAACTGGAACCGTACGAAACGCAAAAACAGAGCCCTCCCGCCCATGAACATAAAAACGATCCAGCCTGGAACACGCCCCTCGCGCAGCAAAGGTGAATTCCAAATCCCCTCCAAACATGAGAGCAGCATCACGAAACCCACAACTCTGTAAGGTGGAGACTAATGCTCGAGAAACATTCTGCGGACGCGCACTCTTGCAATCCCGTACCTGAGTGACACAATTAAAATCGCCCCCAAAAACCATGTCTCTCGTGTCATGACGCAAGAAGTGTAACAGCCCACCCTAGAAAAACTCCTCCCTCTCCCGGCGACGCGCCAAAAGGAGCGTACACAGTCAATAAGGGAATCTCCACCCTGAGGTACCGCACACGAGCGAACAACACCTGGCCATCCTCATCCATCTCTGTGTGAAGCACGGAAATGTACGCCCTCCAGGAGAACAGCATCAGCGTGCCCCCAAAGAACATCCTCGGCGGATTAAGCACTACATGAAAATCATCAGTCAACCCAGACAAAGCACCCAAGTCACGCACATTATGCTCCTGAATTAAGGCTACATCTACATGCTGCTCACGAAGCACAGCCACCAAGCCCATCTGCACTACCAAGTCACGCAACCCACGAACATTCAGCGTCGAACAAGCAAGAGAGGGCGCCATCAAGAAGGGCAATCAGGACCCCACCAACCCCACAGTCCCCTGCGAAGGTGGACCATAGCCTCTCACAGGGGAGGCAATAGGAACAGTAGGCGCATCACCT